GATGTACATGAGGGTATTTTAGTCTTTTTACCTTACTTAATATTTTCTTTAATAACCATTATCTTGAAGAACCAAAATCCATTAAAGATATATACAAGTTACCATAAATATAATTACTCTCATTTGAAGTTTAACATTATTAATTATATAAAATGATTGTAATTATTTGAATAAAACKGTTAACCAGTAATATTAATCAGTAAAAGTAATATTTCTAAAAATGTAAAAACAAAAATACGAACTTCAAACAAAATCATCAAACGTGAATCCTAARACTTTCCAAAAGTCAAACTTCTTTATGTCCAATTACTCATATCAACTAGAGACTCTAATCAACACTATAAACCATAAAAATCCGAAACTCCATTGCAGAAATCGGTCGATGATGATACKTACATGTTCTAAGAATTAATCCGAAGATCATATTCGTCCTTGTTCGATGACGAATCTTTCAACGATGAGTGCTTCGATCCATGGCCACTATATGATCAATAGTATAAACCCTAAAAATCAAAAACCCGAATGCAGAAGTTAATCGATGATGCCTACATATTCGATCAATCCGAAGATCCATCTTTATTAATGTTCGATGAATCTTTCAACTATGAATGCTTCAATCCATCACCACTAATCCCAGTTTCTTTTTTTTTGAATCTTTACATGGATATTTCGTATCAAATTTCAGATCCGTCAGTAATCCGTCAATAACTCAATGAGGAAATGATTAACCAGTAATATTCATGAGTAAAAGTAATATTTCTAGAAATGTAACAACAAAAAACAAAAATATGAACTTCAAACAAAATCATCAAAAGTCAATCCTAAAACTTCCCAAAAAGTCAAACTTCTTTCCATCCAATTACTCATATCAACTACATCTAATTACTCATATCAACTAGACTCTAATCAACACTATAAACCCTAAAAAATTCTGAAATCCGAAACCCGAATGCAGAAATCGATCGATGATGATACGTACATGTTCCAAGAATTAATCCGAAGATCCATATTCGTTCTTGTTCGATGACGAATCTTTCAATGATGAATGCTCCGATACATGGCCACTATGATCAACACTGTAAACCCTAAAAAACCAAAAACCCAAATGCAGAAATTGATCGATGATACGTACATATTCTATGAATCCGAAGATCTATCTTAGTTATTGTTCGATGACGAATCTTTCAATGTTGAATGCTTCGATCCATCCCCACTAATCCTAGTTTATTTTTTTGAATCTTTACATGAATATTTCGTATCAACAACACCTCGATCATCGCCCGTTTCTCGTTCATATAAATCTTTCACATCATCATCGTTTTCTCTACCCCAAAGCGTATTTGATAATCGGAAGATTTCTCTCTCAACAGGATCCATATTAGCTTCAATATCTTCACCATTCGATTTCATCTCCATATACGTCAAGAATCTTAGGTTCAAACCCTCCATTTTTCTGTTCAAATCTATAGCATCTCGATAAAACCCACGTTCTTTAACCCAATAGTTGAAGAAATCTTGCAGGTCATCAGTGTTAGTGTAAGGGTATCTCCCATGAATGCGATAAAAGGCAAGAATGCCCTTCAAAAGATTAATCTCTACTCTCCTACATTTACGTGGAAGACTGATGGTGGTGGCGGTGGTGGCGGTGGTGGTGGCAGTGGCGGTATCTTCGGTTTCTTTTTGGGTCGATGATGATTCGGTTTGATGACGTGTGGTTGGTGTAGAAAGACCGGTAGTGTCGACATCTTCTTTTGATACGGGTATCTTTCCTTTGCTGGTTGAACCACTGGAACCGCTTCTGGTGGAACCAAGGTGAGAACGTGGTGGTTTGAAAGGATCATCCATGGCGGAATCTTGATGGGTTTAATTTCTTGTTGGTTTTCAAGTTGAAAGAATGTTGGATTTTGAGATGGGTTTTCAAGATCGAGAGAGAGAGAGAGAGAGAAGAAAGTGGTGATGGAGTTTGAAGATTATGAACAATTGGCTGTACTTATTGTTTTTGGAGATATATATATATATATATATATATATATATATAT